GCTTAGGTTTTGATTAAATGAAAGTCAACTCCAATGGATTTCAAAAAGTTTATGAATTCATTTACAACAATTAAAAAGAAAAAATGGAGATTTATAAAGATTTATTTCCTGAGTTGATTTTCGTTGAACATTTATACAATTTAAATTAAAATCAAATAAGGCTTTCAAAAATTAAAGAGGCCAGAAATGAATTCAAAAAAAGAGTATCTAATTACAGCTTTTTAGAAGAATTAAAAAAATATCCTTAACAGAAAGAAGTTATAACCAAAATGGAAAAAGAAAAATTATAATATGAAATAAACTCTGTTTGGACAAAATACAACCCTATTGATTTTTGGATATAAAGTGGCATTACAAACTATGTTAAACTAAACATTTCCTATAACTTTCAAGATAAGAAAATCTGTATTTATAATTAGAAAGTGGCAAGAATGTACTTATTTTAATAAGTTGTTTAGTGAAAATGATATGGCATAATTATTATTATTAAGAAATTTAGATTAATTTTTATACATGAAATGGAGTGGAGAATATTAATTAAAATTTAGTAAGATAGGAAAATGGGTAGTAAAATGGAAGGAGGATATCATAGGAGGTGGAAATTATGATCAACAAGGGTAAAAGATTGGCAAGTGGATTGAATTGGATGAAGGATTTTAATCTATAAAAAAAGTAACTTATATTGGTCAATATAATAATGGTAGGAAGATTGGAAACTGGGATGTTATGTATTGCTCATAAAACGAGATAGAATATAAACAAATGTAAATATAATATAAGTATAAGTAATTAATGGACGTGTGCGTATTTTTAGAGGTGGCGGATCATATGATTTAGAAGGAAATTAGAAAAAGATTGCAAAGTGGATAGAATTGGATGAAGGATTTAATTGTTGTAAATAGGTCATATATCATGGTGAATATAATTTAAATGGTATGAAGGTTGGAAGATGGGATATTATATATAATAGATAAGAAAATAGAAAATATGAATAATTGTAAATACTATATAACATAAGGAAAATAAATATTTTTAGTGGTGGGTCATATGATTTAGAAGGAAATTAGAAAAAGATTGGAAAGTGGGTAGAATTGGATGAAAGGTTTAATGACTCTAAATAAATAATTTATAATGGGGAATACAACATGAATGGTATGAAGGTAGGTAGATGGGATATAATGTATTGTCATTATGATGGGAACGAATATAGTCAGATGTAAATATTATAAAAGTATAAGGGATTTAGTGCTGGAGGATCTTATAATTTAGAAGGAAATTAGAAAAAAATTGGAAAATGGGAAGAATTGGATGATATGTTTGATAAACATAAATAAGTTATTTATCTAGGTGAAATTAATATTAATGGTATGAAGATAGGTAGATGGAATGCTATGTATTATTAATAAGATGAAAAGGAATATAAATAAATGTAATATCACATAAGTATAATGAATATAGTGGTGGGGGATCGTATGATTAAGAAGGAAAGTAGAAAAAGATTGGAAAGTGGATAGAATTGGATGAAAAGTTTAGTGATCATAAATAAGCTACTCATTATGGAGAATACAATATGAATGGAATTAAGGTAGGTAGATGGGATATTATGTAAGTTAAATAAAGAAAAACAGGATATGAATAAATGTAAATTAATAATAATTATAAGGAACAAAAAATGTTTAGTGGGGGAGGATCATATAATTAAAAAGAAGAATAGTAAAAAATTGGAAAGTGGGTGGAATTGGATGAAAGGTTTTGTTGTTGTAAATAAAATTCAAATTAAGTTACTCATTATGGAGAATATAATATGAATGGTATGAAGATAGGTAGATGGGATATTTTGTATCGCCAATATGATGAGGAAAAAATTTAATAAATGTATATATAATATAAGCATAAGGAATATAAAATATTTTTAGTGGTGGCGGATCATATGATCAAGAAGGAAATTAGAAAAAGATTGGAAAATGGATAGAATTGGATGAAAAGTTTAATGATTATAAATAAGTTACTCATTCTGGAGAATATAATATGGATGGTATTAAGGTAGACAGATGGGATATTATGTAAGATAGAAAAAGTAATATAGGATATGAGTAAATGTAAATATATTATGATTATAGAAATATAAATTTTTTTTAGTGGTGGTGGATCATATGATCAAGAAGGAAATTAGAGCAAGATTGGTAGCTGGTTAGAGTTGGATGAATAATTTAATAGTAGTAAAGATCGTTTTCAGACAACTATCTATAATGTCACATTTTTTGGCGAATATAATGTTCTTGGTATAAAGATAGGCAGATGGGTTACAATTTGTATTTCTAATAAGAAAGAATATAAATAAATGTAATAATTATAGAATTATAAAGAATAAAGGGGTGGTGGATCATATGATTAAGATGGTAATTATAAAAAGATTGGAAGTTGGGTAGAATTGGATGAAGATTTCTATTCAAAATCATAACAAGAAAATTAAGTCATTTATACCGGCGAATACAATAAAAATGGTAG